CGTCTGCGAGGCAAAACGTCACGACTTGCCCCAGGGCCAAGGCACCTCCCAGGGTCCCCAGAGCTTGGTAGAATCGACCTACACAGCACGGTGTATCACCACTGGACCTACGAAGAGGAAAAACAACTCCAGCGGGAACTACACGAGGATGATGGCTGGATTCCTTCAACTTTGCAAAAATATCACACGCCACTGGATGGCTACCTGCACGACCAGCAGCATGGCATGGATTGCGTGATCCACATATGGTTATGAGACACCAGGAGATAAGAGGGACAGAACTGTGGTACTTGCTTGCTGCTTGCTGCCCTCCACCCCTCCTGGATCCAGTGTCGCTTTTCTTCCCAGGTTCGCGCGCCGCTTGTGGCAGTAACTCTTTGACTGAAGGGCCAGTCGGGTTCTCACCCCGACTAGGCAGCCTGGAGAGCACAGACCCCCAGGACGTGACGTCACACATATATGACAGTACCAGATATTCTGAGAAGGACCGCGGTTGTTAGAATTCGAGTCTACGCTGGACTTTAAATAGCAAGGGATTTTAACAGCCAGGGGGATGCATGCGTTTCACTGACATGTTGCTGCCGCTGCCTAGCCGCTGCCGCTGCATTGTCACTTCATCCTGTTCCATATTGCTCTCATCCTTTCCTAGGGGCGTCGAATCTCTGCCCCAAACCCGACAAAGAAAGGAAGGAGGAGGGAGGAGGAGGAGGAGGAGGAAGAGGAGAAGGAGGAGGAGGAGGAGGAGGAGGAGGAGGAGGAGGAGGAGAGGGGGGGAGGGGGGCGCATCGTGGCCCGGGGCACCTGCGGTGACGTCGGGGGGGCCAGGTGGTGGGAAGGGAGGCCACGCCATGTGGAAGATGCAGGGCAGTGTTTGACACATGGGATTTTTAATAATATCGGATGTATGGTACATGATTAATGTATGAGTAAAGGTATGCATGAACTCATCGTTGTTTGAAATACAATATCCCTGCATTTTTAACACATGATCCGCACGGGAGGCCGCGCCATCTGGAAGATGCAGCCAAAAACCCTCACAAGGACTTGCGGCAAGGACGCAAGACTCTTGGAAACCGAAGTTGGGATTTTTGGGGCGGCGGACGGCGAAAACCCCAAGGACGCAAGAGCAAGGATGAGCAAGGACGCAAGGGTACCCTGAGCAAAGTCGCGCGTCCCTATGATGGATTCTTGACTGTAGGGTGGTGGCCCGACCGCGAGAAACCTTCCACGAGAAACCCAGCCCTGAGACCCCAGGACGTTCCTCGATTTTCGTGGTGGGAACGTCACGATTTGTGGCAAGACCACCGAATCCAAAGAAACCCAGGGCACCGTGGAGGCAAGCAGGGTATTTCTTGGCATGGGCCCACACTGTATCATGGCCCTGGCCATGCGACCCACACGCCCCTGGTCCTCACCAGCCTCCTTGGGCCCTCCCGAAGAGCACCCTGGATCGATGCCTCCTGATCCTGAGCCTGCCCTGTTTCTGCCCCCCTCCCTCTCCCTCCTTTCTTGTCCACAGATTGCTTCGTAAGTGATTTGGCCAACCGCTGTGACGAGTCCACCTGGCTGAAATCAGAAAGTGACGCTGAGACATGTGTGTTTTCGTCGGGTCTCCAACGCGGATGACACCAGGTTCACACACCAATCAATCCAATGGCTACCTCACCGTGTCCGCGAGGTGGACCACAAGGTCCTGCCCTATTTGGGGATCGGCAGCGCTCGGGGCAGACGTGTATACTGATAGCCACACAGGCAAGTCGCCGCACCAACGCAGCGATGCATCTGCCCTCACCGACTGCCAAGCGAATCATGTGGACAGATTTCTGTAGCTGCCAGCAGAGAGGGAGCTTGGCTGGGCTGAGCTCCCCTGTGCTGCGGCTGCGGCTCCGCCAGATGGAGCCCACAGCTTCTGGCTTGAGACGGCTTGGGCCAGCTTTTGGCCACTACCTCTCCTGGGCGCCCCTCCTGGCTGCGCGATAGTCGATCTTTAACCAAAATAATCAGGACAACCCATGCTGGACATCGATTGTCAACTCGCTTTCGCTCTGAGGATAATGATGGGCCGCGCTTGCATCGCCTGGGGGCGAGGGGCCGGCGAGACACCTGCCTCCCCCGATTTTGTGGCCGCCGCGCTATCGCCGCGGCGCCGCGGCGGCCACCCCCCCAGAGCGCTCCGCAACGCTCTGAAAGGCCACCTCCACCATCGTGCGCCCCTCCGCTTGCTCGTCCTCCTCTCGGGGGCGCGCAAGCATGGATCAGCGATCCATGGATTTGGCGCGCGGTCGCCAAATTCAGGGATCGGGGGAGAAATGTTCCCCAAAATGCGGCCGGTGCCATCTCGCTCGGCGGCGGAAATCCGCGATTTTCCATGGGAGCGGGAGCCGTCGCTAATCCACTCCCCCTTGATCTATGTTTGAGATTGCATGATCATCCCGCCCATGCTCTCCCAGGACCAGCCAGCATTGAGTGGAAAGAAACTGAGCTGGGGGGGAACGTCAAGGGGGAGCTCGCTCCTCGAAGAAATACAATCGACCTGGAGTCGGCGAGGCATCGCCGATACATCGGCGATAATCCCCCGATGGGGAATCCGCATGCTCCTTGGCGGGTGGGCTATTGGGCCCCTAACGGCGATCAGTGGGCGATTATGCATCCCCCCCGAGCCTATCCCTCTGTGCGTCACAACGGGCCGCATCGGCACGGAGTCGAGAGCGAATCGGATCAGCTCCGCAAAGATCGGGCGTAGGCAAGACTGGATTTAGTGGGAACTGGCTTAAAGATGTGTGCCGGGCGAAGCCGTGGCCTCGAGACCCCCCCCCCGGCACATCCCACCAACCAAAACTGCCACCACCAGAAGAAACACCGGCTACGGCTGACCTTGTTTAGTCTTCATAGCCACTTGTTTCGATTTCGGGCTGAATCGCTAACTGGCTCCCATTACCCAGACTCCTTGCTATATCCGTTAAGACACACTCCAACGCCATGCATGCGTCGGGCCGCGTCGACTCGTCGGAATGAGACGAAAACAAGATACAGATGCAGTCGCAATGCAGGCACGTTGTGAATCTCTGTGAGCTGGCGGATCCGCAGGTGGCGACATCCGACCCCTAACCCCCACCAGCCGTCGATTCTCCTGAATCGAAGGGGGGCGGGGGTAGGGCTCGAATTTCGCAACGTTTTCCACGAATTCCGAACCCTACCCCCGAACGAATTGCCTGAATCGTTGATCGGCGAGGACAGGGTTCGGACTTCGCCGCCGAATTCGGATTGTCTTCCTCCAGAACATCGGGATTGCACTGGACCGAACCTCCCCGAATCGATACCGAATCGGGGACGCAGTGACCCGGGCCAACTGAGACAAAGCCAGGACGAGGATACATTCGGGCAAGGGTAAATCGAGAATCTCCGATATCTGGCGGTTCTGGAAGATGTCTCGGGCGCCGCGGCCTTCTCAGAGCGTTCCAGGATGCTCTCAAAGCATTCTGGAAGGCCCTGGAACGGATTTATCCTCGTCCTGCCCCCGTCCGATCAACGCCAACCCGGGTCGACCAGGGCCACGTCGCGGACCCAGGCCGGCCACGAAGTAGCTCCCGTCCCGCAAGATCCTGCAAGATCCTGCGCCAAGGCCTGGGTTTCCCTGGCCTATGCAACCCTGGCGCTGCAGGATCATACAGGATCCGGCGCTTTGACTGACCCCCATTCGCATGGACCCCCGTCCCTTCAGCCCCGAGGCCCCGCTCAGGGGAGGCCGCAACACCGCTTAACGATGTGGTGCCAACCAAACCTACAGGGTGGGCCCTCTCCATTTATCTGTGCACTTCAGCTTTGGCTGCTGCTTCAACTGCCGATGCACCGTGACACGCCTTCGGGCCAGCTCACCCAAGTCGGAGTTTCCTCTCGCACGGGTGCCCCCCCCCAAGGCGGAGGGGAAAGGAGAGACTATTTGATATTTATCGCTTTATCGTGTTGGGGCCAGTTCTAATGAATCCCTATCTGGGACTAACCATGTCCGTGATATTATTTCAACGTTGGATCCGATACACCTCGAATGGAGCCGTCTTACAAATGGAGCGACCCCTAACAAAATCCAGCCAAGGATGGGGCCACATGAGGGATGGATCCACGTCTGATTGAATTCTACAAAATGATGGAACAACCTCTAGCATCGTATTAACGATTGAACCACATCTGATGTAAACCCACCGGTGGTGTTGCACCTACGAATACAATCTTTTGAAACCGGTTTGAACGACCTCTGACAGCGTCCTAATAGGGATGGGCACGCGTTAGTATAGTCGTATCCAGTATGACGCCACCTCGAGTGAAATCCGATCAGGGATATAGCCACCTGTGAAATAATCTGGTTAGGGGCGGCCACGCCTTTCACATAATCCTAACTGGATTGGAACCGCCTGCAATAGAATCGTATCAGGGATGGAGACACCCCGGATGTAATATGATTACGGACGGCCCATCTCTGAAATCATCATATTGGAGGTGGGTCCACCAGTAACAAAATCTCAGTACTGATATATATATATACATACATACATATATAACCTTCTAGAAATACGACCAGTGATGGGACTGACATGTATTAGATTATTACTGGCGGTGGGTCAACCTCTAAAGGGCTCCTGTTAAGGAGGGAGCCGCGCGCACAAACACACATCCATTAAAGGTGGGCCCTTGCCTCCTATTAAAATGCAATGAGAAGCGGGCCGACCAAGGATGGAACCAACTGGAATCTGATACAACTAGAAGCCACCTCCATTTGAATCCTACTGGAAATGGAAGCAACTCTAATAGAATCCAGGATCCGGGGGGCTGCGTGTGACTGGCCCAGTGCGATGCCGCGCTAAACCCTGCTAGCCCTTGATAGCCCGAGTTCGGCCGAGCCGAACCCTGCTAGGCACTCCTAAGCAGTGCGGCCCTCTGCTGAGCCCTGGTAAGTTGTGCTACACACCTGCCAGGTCCTGCTAACCCCTGCTGGCCCCTGATGTGCCCCGCTGAGGCCTGCCAAGATCAGTTAACGCCTGTTAACCTTGGTAAGTTCGGCCAACACCTCGGCAACCTGCTGAGCCATGCAGTGTCTACTAAGCCATGCGGGTCGACACCATATATAATCGTGTCAGGGATGAACCAATTGCGAATGCAATCCTATCAGATGTGAATCCACCTCTGATGAGGTCCTACAAAAAAGAAACGGTATATATACAATACGAACACGGGTAGGCTCAGCTCTAATAGAATCCCATGAGAGGTGGATCCACCTCTACTGGGATCCTGCCATGAACCGGGTCACGGGTCATTGAATTGCATGCAATGTGGCTTCACTTCTACTGGAAGCCGAGTAAACGCTGGATCCACCTCCAATAGAACCCCATGAAGGATTGAAGCACCTGGAATATATTCGTATTCGATATGGGTACACGCCTATTTGAATCCGACGGGAAACGGAGCAACCTCTAGTACAATCACTCCTACGCCCTGCTAAGCCCCTGCTAATCGCTGCTAAGCCTTGCCCTTGTGAGCCTTGCTAGCCACTGCGGTGTCGTGCTATGCTCTGCTGGCCCCTGCTAAGCTCTGCTAGGTCTAGCCACGCCCTGCTAAGCACTGCTAAGCGCGGCTAAGACTTGCTGGCCGTCTGCCAAGCCACCTGCCAGGCCTACCGGAGCTTTGATAAGCCCGACCAAGCCTGTTCTAGGCTCTGCTAGCCTCTGGTATGCACTGCTGAGACTTGTTCATATTTGCTAACACCTGCTAGCCTTGCTCTGCTCTGCCAGCAACTCTATAACCCGCTAAGCCATGTGGCGCCACATCCACTATCATCTTATCAGGGGTTGATACATTGCTAACGGGATCCTATTAGGGGTGGATCTACCTCTAACGTGGTCCTATTCGTGGAACAGAATTGCGCGATACATGCGAACAAGGAAGGGCTTAGCTCTAGGATCCTGTCATGAACGGGGCCATGGGTCATTGAATTGCATGCAGCGCGGCTTCGCCTCAACTAGAGCCCCATTGGAGGTGGATCCACCTCCAACAGAACTCCATGATGGATGAAAGCACCTGGGGTATAATCCGATTAGGTGTGAATCCACTTCTAATCGAGTTCTACTGGGAACGAGGCCACCTCTACCATAATCCTCGTAGGGGCGGATCCACGGCTTATGAGATTCAATGAAGCATCAGTGCGGCCTACCTGAAAAAAACAGATTTAAGACCAAGCCGCCTGCAATTAAAAACCTTCTAAGACATGGAGAGATTTCCACAGTAGAACTCAACTGGTAAATCGCCCACGAAAAAACCCAGCTGGATAGCCGCACAAAAGGTGTTTTATTTGGAATTCGTGAAATAGAAATCACTGTGCAAATTCGCAGCAAAAAAATCTATTGGAAAATCGCACAAAAAAAGAAGTCGATGTGGAATCCACACAGTAGAAATCAAACTGTAAGTCACCCACAAAAAGAATCCTGGTGAAAAGCCGCGCGAAACAAGGATTCGATGTGCAATCCGAAAAGTAGAGAGCAATTTATACATCGCCGACAAAAGGAATCCGATTGAACAGTCGCACAACAATAATTTCATGTGTAATCCTCACAATAAAAATCATGTTGCAAATCGCCCACATAAAGAGTTCCGTTGACAGGTAGCCAGAAAAAGTGCTGGACCCTCCGGAAGAATAGAAAATAACAAAGAAAACGTAGCACTCTCCATTTACATGTTTTTTCGCGCCCGCCCCGCACCATGAGAAAAAAATGGAGGGGGGGTCCCGAAGATCAAAAACTTCATCTGGCCTTCATTCAAAGAAATCCCTTTCGTGGGCGATTTACTAATTGCTTTCTTGCGTGCAGATTGCAATGAGAATCCTTTTGCGCCGCATTTCAATAGGAACTAATGTGTGAGCGGATTGCAGATCTTGATTTCTAGTGTGGATTACACATCGAATCCTCATGTGCGTCTTTTCAATCGGATTCGGTGTGCGGGCGATCTACAAGTAGGTTTCTATGAAATAGATTACAAGTCAAATGAAACCAATCGCCCACTATGTTTGTTTGTTCCCCTCCCCCGTCCGCCTTCCCTGGGGAAACAAATACTTAAAAATGGAGGGGGCGACGGTTCTTCGTTTTTGTCACTGTTTTTTTTTTTCCGCAGGGTCAAACACTTTGTCTGGCTCCCTTTACCCGACAATTCTGCCAGGCCGAAAAGAAGCAAATGTCAAAATCCTTCCAACGCCATAGGAAAATCAGTGTTGTTGGCCTGTCTGGCCTTCCTGGAGGCCCTCTTGGAGGCCTCTTGGACCGCTTGGGCGATTTACAGCATGACCCCTATTGTGTGGATTACAGGTGACCTTTTGTGGGCGATCTGCACATTGATTTCTACTGTGTAGATTACACTTAGAATTCATTCGCGCCGCTTTTCAAGAGGATTAGACTACAAGAGTTAGATGCAACGAAGAAGATGACAGGGAAACGAAACATGAATGAATGAAAATACACAAACCGAATAGTCAAACAACTTCCGACACATCAACATACACCACGAACATGGCCTCCAAATCCACAAGCCCCACGTGGCTCCTAGACCCGGGTCAGACAGAGGGGGTTGCCCGACAGAAGTTGGCGCTGGCCCCCGTCCGACATCGGATCGGAGCCGGTCTGGCCGTCGCCCTCTCCGCTCGGAGCTCCTCCTCCTTTGGAGTACCATGAGGGGACTGCTCCAGGACAGGAGCAAGCCGTAGACGGATCTACCCTTTCTCCGACCTTGCACCGCGCCGCACGCTGACGGCCACATTGTCCATAGACGTATTTATTCACAACGAACGTGACTACGGACGTCGGGGCACCCAATGTGTTCACAGACGCGTTTGGCTAGGACGTGAGAACGGCATTGGCATCGGCCCCAGATGTTGGCCAACTAAACGCAGGTAGGCTCGGCCCTCCAACTCTCCTCCTCCTCCTTCTTAGGCGGGCTGCGAGTCGCACGCACCTGAAGCGCAGGTGGGCGGCGGCCGACGAGCAAAGGCAGCATCTTCACCGCATCCTGTTGGAGGAGGATTGGGTGGCGCAGGGTCAGCTCCTCCTCCTCCTCCTCCTCCTCCGTGGGGGAGCGGCTCGGCCTCCTCTGGGTGCCAGCCCTGCGAGCCACGGCCGGCGAGGAGGGCGGAAGGCTTCCTGAGGAGAACGGCGCCAGGAGCACAGAAATGTTCGGAGACGCGCGCCACCTCTCGCGAGCGGCGGCCGCATCTGGGTCCACGCCCTCGCGGTCTGAATCCGCGATCCCCTTGGTAGGCAGACGCGTGGGTACGCTCCGCGCCTGTCGTGCTCCCTCCCCGGCGCGCGGAGCGCGCGCCGGGGCGGCGCCAGAGGCGCTGCCAGGGAGCCTCGGCCCCGACCCAAGAGAAGCCCACGCGGCCCTCCGACGGCATGACTTTTCCATCGCGTCGACCCCCAGCAGCCTCGACCCCTCCCCCAGGACCAGATTTTCGTTCCGAGCCGCTTTTTCGTGGTCCCGAGGCCCGGTGAGGGCTCCCTCGGCGGGGGAAGGTAGCGTCAGGTCGTGCCTGCCCCCCCCCCCTGCAGGGGGAGTTCGGGCGAAAAATTAAAAGCACCATCAAAGTTCTCTAGAATGCTGTAGAATGATCAAAAGATGGTCCCCAGACTATATTTTGACTATTTTGGAATCGTCCTCCTGTAGAAAGACAGGCCCGACTCAAAAGGTAGCGGAAAAACCTCCTGCCGTAATTCTGTCATGACTCGAGGGGGATCTGGGCACGCGGACCCTCAAAAGTTTGTCCCCGTGGCGTCGCTGTGTCCTCTCCGTGAGGAGGCTGGAGCGCCAACACCGGCGTCCTGTCGCTGCTGCCGGCTCCGCTCGTCGATCCTCTGGCCAGCGTTTTCGCCGCCAGCCCAGAAGTTCGTCATCGTCGCTCGCGTACTCGATCTCGTGCTCCTCCCCCCCAACAATAGGGGCCTGACTAAACGAGGCCTTCCACAAGAAACCCAACCCTGAGACCCCAGGACGTCCATTGATTTTTGGCATGGGTCTCAGGGGTACTCGATCTCATTCTTCCCTCGCCGTGGGAGCGTCACGGTTTCCATCGCAAAACCATCGAACCCCAAGAAACCCAGGGCACCCTGGAGGCAAGCACGGTGTTTCTTCGCAGGGGCGTCCACTGTAATCCTCCTCATGCTCCTCCACCTCCCCAGGCGACCTCAAACTGCGAAAAACAAGAACAACAACGAAGAATGTCTTGCAGACTTCAGCCTCGGGGGGCGCTCACCGGGCCCGTCGAAACACAGCTCGGGATAGGAAACCCGACCCAGGGAAGGACGGGGGCTAGAAATCCTCGGGGCCAACGTGGTTGAAAAAATCGACGCTGGAAGGCTGGGTCATACTCAGAGTTTCTTAGTTAACCGTCGGGGGGGCGTCACCCCCGCCGACAGCCCCACATCGACCCCCGTCGCGGGCAGCCACCGCGCGCCGAAGGCGCTCCGACCCCAGTCGCGGCGCGACGACAAGGCGAGGTTGACCCCCGTCGAAGGGGTACCCCCCAACGCATATTAATCCGTCACACGCCAACATGGAATTAGGAATCCACGCATCGGGGCAAACACCTCCCGAAGCATGCAGCCAAGGCCGCCTGATCTGGCGACGGAGCTCGCAGAAACCACGAAGAAAGGGGGCCCCGTGGAGGAGGAGGAGGCTTCTCGTGTCATCAGTACCTCAGTGGGACGTGGTGCGCAGACTGTCGTTCGTCCCAAGCGGCGTGAAGATGACGAAGGGTCACACTTGCAGGCTCGTGCGGACTCCAGCGGAGATAGTCCTCGGACTGACGAGAAAGTGAGGGGGTTGGCCGGGCCCACCCAAGGTGAGGCCAGTCTGCCCCAGAGGTCCTCCCAGGAGGGTCTAAAGGAGGTTGCTGTCAAAAAGTCCTCGACCATTCTCCTCCCCGTTTTCGTCGTCGCCGCAGCCGTCGTCTGTCTCTTCGTCGTCGTCGTCGTCGTCGTCATCGTTTTCATCGTCGCAGGGCGACGCCAATCCGCCCTGAGGGTCGGCGGGATCTGGCGCGGGCCTGTCAAAGAGGACAGGTTATGGAAGCTGGGCACTTCCAGCTCCATTCATGGCATGCTCACTGGCGCGGCTCTGTCCCACGTGCCCCTCCCTGTTTGGGCCGGCTTCGGCTTCCTGCCCAGGGGACGTAACAGAAACTGCTCGGGACGACAGTCGGGTCCTTGGCAACGTGTCCAGGACTCTGGGGAACCGCGCTGTGAAACAACACGTCGGAAGTCAGGATCCCCTTCCCGTTTATAGTCTGCCGCTGTGCCTTCAGCACGTGGAGTGACCCAGGGCTCATGCACATATGAACGGCCAATACAACTGTAGGATTACTGCGGGCCTGATGGGGCGCTTCAGGCGCTTCTCGCGCGGGCCTCCAGCAGAACCCGACCCGCCCAACCCACCCCCAACATCCCCCTCAAAGAGCCTTTCGAGAGATGCTCGACAAAAAGCTCGGGCACCCTTGGTGGCCCCCAGGAGTCGTCCTGCGGCTTCCTTGGGGGCCTCTTCGTGGGCCTCAGCGGCCTCAGAGGCCGAAATACATGAGGTGCGCGTAGATACACACGTTGACACTTCGGACAAATAGTATGTATCCATGGGGCACTGGCTAACAGCGATATGAATTATTCTGCGCGAGTCCCGTAGCAGGTAAGACAAGCAGTGATTGCATGCTTTCGCGTACTCGGCTTTCCATTCTGCAGATCGTCCAGGGCGGCCCAGCCCCTAAGGAAGCCCCAAGACAGCCTCCAAGGACTCCATCAAAGCAGGAGAGCTCAGAATCGAATCGACAAGTCGGATCGGCAATCGAAATAAATCGGATCGGAGGAACTGGGCAGCCGAGTCGCGAAAGACTTGAATCGGCAAAAATCGGAAGGATAGTAGGCCTCCAATGAGAAAGCGGAGCCCAAACTGGAATCCGAAGTCGAATCGAATCGGACTCGGAAGCCATCCAAATCGAATCGAATCTAATCGGGCGAATCGAAATGAGCCCAGAGCGGGGGCTACTGCGTCCACCTGAGAGAGGGCCCGAGAGGCCCCCTAAGACAGTTCCCCAACATGATCCCACTAGTTGCCCAATTTTCCCGCAAAAGAAACACGTCGTCGGGTATCGAGTGTGTCCATCTTCCTCGCCTGCTGGTGTTGTCGGGCCCCATATATCTCAGCATAAGATACGCGTGTCGATGATTCCATAACCCTCGGCGACTCGTGCTTTCGGGCTTCAAACGTGAAGTTTGGTTGAGCCACGAAACACAAATTGTGACAGCCACGGGATCTGTCTGATTCGTGCATTGTCGACTCGACGACTTAAGTAGAGCGTCCACGACGGCCCAAGAAGCCCCAGACATCGACGCGAGGGGGTCACCGATATCCTAAGAATAACAAAAAGCGTTCCCCAAACAATCCGTCGCTTTTCTTTTACTGACACTCTGGTCCACAAGCCAAGCACGGTGGCGAGGTGGGTCGCAGGCCACAGCTATCCTATCCTCGGCCTCCCATCCCACCGCCCCCAACCCTCCCCCCTGGTGTCCGCTGCCTCCTCTCTGTTGCCCCCTCCCCTGCTGGCGCTGGCCTGCACCGCTGTACCAGTGCAAGTCGGAGCCGCCCCCTGTCTGCATGTGCAAGTTTCGACGCACATCTTTCCAACGGGAAACGGCTGCAAAACAATACTCAAGTACACACGTCTGTAGAATGAACCGTGTTGGTCCTTCATGGCTGCAACAATGACAAAAAAACACCTCCGCAAACCTGACTTCCACCCCGTCCCCTGCTGTCACTCCCCGCCTCCCACTCCGCCCGCGCCCCCCCCCTCGTCTTCCCTCCTCGCGTTTCTCTTTCCCCATGTCATCCCCTCCCGTGCGCCACTGTCCCCCATTCCTCCTCCCCCCAGTAATCCAATTCCCTCTACGTCATGCCGCCTCGCACCACGCATGCGAACTAAACCGCCAGAGCGGCGAACCGTGTTAAAACAGCACAAGTTGGCAGCAATGAGTTGGCGCTCAACGCCAGGACTCAGAGGTCAGAGAGGGAACACGTCGAAGGAAGAAAACGTGGAGGAGGCAGAGGAACAGGAGGAAGGAGGCCGCGAGACTGCACGACGAGGGATGATGGCAAGGAGGATCTTGAGTCGCTGGGGCGCCTCATCCCCGTCATTGGGCCCGGTTCCCGGGAGTCACCACCCCTTGCCGTCGCTCGGACGTCCATTTCCTGTTTTTTTTGTTGCTCGATGGTCCAGGATGGTCCTCAAGGGTCCTCGCGAGAAAAAAATGCACACGTCCGAGCGATGCCATGACCCTGTAAGGCACGGTGGCCCGATGGTGCCAATGGCCTGGGGCGGTGGCCCAGGCCGCACGATGAGAGGTCGCTCTTGGCTGGGAGCCTACCACTCGCCACCGCTTGGACGTCCATTCTCTGCGCATGTTTCGGTTTCGTGCGTGTATTTTTTCGCAACGCGAGCAACAATGCTCCTCGATGGCCCTTGCCGATAAAAAAATGCACAAGTCCGAGCGATGCCAAGACCAAAGAAGCATGAAGGCCGCAAGGGGGTGCCAAAATGCCCCTCCCTGGGGTGGTCACAAGGTGGCCCACAAGGAACATCAGAGCTATTCGTGCTGGAACCTGCCAGGGCAGCAAAAGGGTCTCCAGAGCTATGTGGCGGACCAGGGGGCGTCGTGTTAGTACATATAGTACTGTTTAGTGCCACCAAATTACCCAGCCTGGAACGGACGGATCCCTATCCCTAAGATGGGCAAGCCAAAAGCGATGACAATATTAGGGATGGGCCCTCAGAAACTGAGGGGATCCCTAAGATCGGTATCGAAGTAAGGTGATGTCAAACATAGGGATAGAGATATGTGTCAAACTGGTAAGATGTGCTCCTGCTCACTGAATGGCATTCAACTTGCAGCACGGTGCAGGCTCGGGCAACAAACACACGACCCAACAAATGCCACCGAGCCAGAGGTCCCCAAGGGGCGCCGAGCAGAGTAGATCTGCAACGTAGCTGATCTTGGTTGAGAACACGCCATGTGCTCACCGTGGTGTTTGTGGAGTGCGGTTGCTGCAGTTGGACTTTGGTGAACGAAAGGATACACCAAAGGATGCGTCGATCGAGTCTGAGCGTGGAGGTGAAGCACACAAACCCACAAAAGCGGCAATGTAGGTGCAGCAGCACCTTCGTGTTACTACTGAAGAGAAGCTGCAATATCCTCGCGTCTCACTCTCTCTCCTTTGGCATTCCTCGCAAAACCAATGACTACCCAGAAGGATAATTACGAAACGTTGCAAACGGATACACGTGAATGCGTGCAGGACCGCCAACGTTGTCGCCAGACGTTGTCCTTGAGGCAACTGCCTCGCGACGGGGGTAGGCGCGGATATTCTGTGGACGAACGAAAACTGGCACTGCCGCAAACTAGCGTCCAAGATCAGACGATCGGTGGACACCAGAAGGACGTGAGAACGCGCAGGACCGCCGGCCTTGGCCGTCGGGCTGTATGCTTGAGGCAACTGCCTCGCGACGGGTTACACGTGAAGAACCTGTGGACGTACAGAAGCCAGCACGGACGCCAGACAGCGCCCTAACGGAGACGAGCCGTGGTAATCGGAAAGGCGTGAGAGCGCGCAGGACCGCCGGCCTTGCCGCCGGGCTGCGTCATTGAAACCGCTGCCTCACGACGGGGGCGGGCGTGCAGAATTTCTGACGCGCAAAAACCTGCACTACCGCCAGGCACCGTCCAACAAAAGACGAGACGCGGTAACCGGAGAGACGTGAGAGCGCGCAGGACAGCAGGCCTTGATGTCAGGGGGCAAACGGACAAAATCTGGATGCGCGAAAACCTGAACTGCCGCCGGGCTGCGCCCAAAAGGGGACGAACTGTGGCAACCGGAAAGGCGTGGAAATGTGCAAGACTGTCGCGGTGGAGCGGGGAGCTGGGGATGGTGGCGCTGCCGAGCGCCTGACAGGCCCCCGACAGCCTATGTGGAGCTGCCCATGCGGGGTGGCCGACAACTGGGCGTGCCGCGCGGCCTGCCGGGGCTGCGGCCGCCGTGCACCCCGCTCGGACGCGCCCTCCGCGCGCGTGGTGCAGCCGGGCTGGGCGCCCGGGCCTGCCACGAGGGCGCCTTGGGCTCGGCAGGCGGCTGGGCACCAGAGCGACGCGGCGACTCGTCCAGCCGCGGCGGCGGCGCCTGCGGCTGCGGGAGGCGCGGCTGCGGCCGCGGAGACGGCCGCCGATGTCACGATGGCCGCACCGGCGGCTGGGGAGCGCCTGGCGGCTGTGCGCGCTCGCATTGCCGCGCTGCGGGCCTTCCCGGAGTTCGCCGGGCAGGTGGCGTAGTACGTAGCGGAGGAGACGGCGCTGGTGGAGGCGGAGCGCACCGCCCGGCCAATCGAGCGCAGGCTCCAGTCGGCGGTGGACACTTTGCGCAGCCGCTCCGACGCGGCCTTGAAGGCGCGTCAGGCCGCCGCCGACGCCCAGTGGCCGAGCAGGCGGCGCTCGCCGCGGCGGACTTGCAGGCGCAGGCTGTGCATGCCGAGGCCGAGGAGGCGGCCGCGCAGCAGACCCTGGCAGCTGTGCGGGCCGAGGCGGCTGCCGGTGGCGCCGCTGGGCCCGCGGGCGGCCCTGGGCCAGCCGGTGCCCCCGTCGGAGGGCCCGATGCGGCCTTCGCAGCGCTGGCAGCCGCTGCGCCTCCCGCAGCGCAGGCGGTCGTGGCCGGCCTGCTGGAGCAGCTCCGGGGGGTGCTGCAGTCTGCGCCGGTTGGCGCAGGGCTTGGGCCTGCCGCCGGCGCGGCGGCAGCGCCAGGACAGGGCGGCGGCTCCGGGCATGCAGGCGGTGCGGCGGCAGCGGCGCCGGCAGGTGCAGGCGCGGCCGCGGCTGCTGGTGCCGGAGCGGCTGGGGTCCCGCCGCGCCGCGATCCGCGTGCGGCGGACGCCGTGGGGAGCCGGCGGCGTGCGGCCTCCGTGGGCGCGCGGTCCCAGCGCTGGGCATCCCCCGGCGACGATGGCGACCGCTCCCGGTCCACGGATCGCGGGGAGCCCCGGGAGCCGCGAGTCCCGCTCTTCGCCCAGCCCGCGCAGCTCGCGCCCGGGCAGCGGCAACTACCGTTGCGCCCTGCCGCGGCGGCAGCAGGCGGCGCCTGACCACGTGCCGTCTGCGACCCGACGCTGGCGTCCTCTCGCGTCGGTTTCGGGCCTTCGGGGGCCCTCCTCGTCGCCGCGGCTGGACGCGACTCGGAAAACTGCTGCGTGTGGAGCCGCGGCGGTGTTTGATGGTGCGCCGGGTGCCCTGCCGCAGCCCTCGGCGTGCACGGGCGGCAGGTGCAGCCCAGGAGCGCGGGCCGCCTCTGCCGCCCGCCGGCGGCTCTGCTGTCTGCGGCGGCCTCGCCTCATGTTGCGGTTGCGCCGCGGGGCTGATGGCGCTGTTGCAGCCCTCCCGGGTTCGCCGGCTGCTGGGCCCGGGGCGTGCGGGTCGGCGAGGCGATGCGGCCCGGCCCCGGCAGCACGATCAAGGTGCTTGTGGCCAATGTCACGCGCTGGAGCGCAAGCTGGCGCGGCGCATTGGCAGCGCAGGCCGACGTGTGGTGCGTGCAGGAGGCCCGCATTCAAAAGCTGGAGGCGGCTGCGGCGGTGGCTGCAGCGCGGGCCCGCGGGATGCGGCTGCACCTGGGGCCCGAGCTGGAAGGCGAGCATCTTCTGGCGGCCGCGCACGCGCCTGGGACGTGCTCAGCTCGGGCCGAGGCCATGTCTGGCCTCTCTGGCCGGCACCCGGGCCGCCTCCAGCACATGGCGGTGCACCTGGGCGGGAGTCGCGCCGTCACCTCCTCAACGTTTACGGGTACGCTGGAGGGCGGATCGACCGGGAGCGCAACGCCGACCTGATCCTGGAGGGCCTCGAGTGGCTCCGGGGCCTGGGCGGCGCGCCCACCCTGCTGGTAGGCGACTTGAATTGCAACGTCGCCGACTCGGGCCTGGAGGGCTTGCTGGGCATGGCCGGCTGGCGTGATGTCCTGGCGGCGGCTGGCCCCACGTGCATCCCTTCCGACGGGGCCCCATCGCGGCTGGACTATGTGCTGGCCAATCCGGAGGCGCTGGGGCTCATCGAAGGGGTTGGTATCAGGTGGGACCTTGGGTTCGCCACCCACGCGGCCCTCTGGGTGGAGCTTCGCTCGTCGGCCCCGGAGCGGGCCCTCATGAGGCGCCCCGTGCAGCGTCTCGACGGCGCCGCTGTGGAGCGCTGGGGAGCGCGGGAGGCCCGGGAGGCCGCCGCCACGGTGGTCGCAGGCTTCGGCACGCCCTTCCACGACGCGCTGGGGCGGCACGATGTCGAGGCGGCATGGCAGTCGCTCCGCTCAGCCATGGCGGCATGGCTGGCGAGTCGGCGAGGGCTCCCAGCAGCTCCGCCCCACCCCCATGCGGCTGCAACGATGGCCGCCGATCGGCCGCCGACGCGAGGAGGGGCAGGCGACGCCGCGGACATGCAGGCGGACGCTGCCCTCCTCCGCCTCCGTCGCTTGCGCGGCCTCCGCCACGCTCAGCGCCGCGCGCCGTTGGCGCGCCAGGTCGCGCTGTCCACGCTGATGGCGCTGCGGCAGGCCGACGCCGACCATGCAGTCTGGCGGGCAGCGCTGGCAGACCTGCGACTGGACGCGGAGCTCCCGGTCATCTTGCTGGAGCAGGCGGAGTCCGAATGGCGCGCTGCCCAGGCGGCAGCGCGGTCCCGGCGCAGGCAGGAATGGCGCCGTTGGGCTCAGGAGAGTATGGCCAACGCGCAGGGCCGCCTCTATCGATGGATCCGTGACGGGTCGACTCTCGAGGCAGATTTGGTGCCCGACCCGGCTGCCGGCGCGGCGGCTGCGGCAGCCGGAAGCCGGAGCTGGCTCTTAGCGCTCCGTGGCGGCCCAGCGGCGCGCCTCCGCCACTTCGAAGGGCCGTGGCGCGCACTGTGGCAGCGGCATTCGGAGCCGCCGCTGGGTGAGGAGTGGCTGCAGGCCCTGGATGGCCTCCCAGCCTTCCCCGAGAGGGCGCCATGGACGGCGGAGATGGTGTCATCGCTGCTTCGCCGCATGCCCCGGCGGAAGAAACCGGGCCT